TTTCTTCTGCTGGGGATCTGAAGACGTTTACATGACATTAATGTGGTGCTAGGCAGGATAACTGGGCATTTCTGATAAGATGAGATCTTCTGTTTCTAAATTTACTGAGAGAATTTAAACATTCAAGCTGACTCTCTTGCATATTCAGCAGCTGGATAAGTAAAACAAGGCTGGCCCTGTTTAATGCCTTGTAGCCACAACATAAATACATAGACCTAAAGGAACCTCATTCTACTATGTATGGGCTCAAGATACACAGAATACGTATCTTGGAATACACTCAGGAGCTGGAATATAAAATGAATTAAAATATGATATAATTTAGGGATGAGCTCAAACATAAATCCTGTATCCGACGTCCTTAAATTTTTTGTTATTGTTTGGGAAGGAAGGTCAAGAACCGAAACCTGGAACCAGATCACAATTCCTGACTGGCGCAAATTTCTATAACAGGCTGAGCCAAAACCTCAAATCCAAACTCCCTTTCAACTCTGGGGCAGTCAAAACGCAGATACAAATTCTGGAACACAGACCCCTCTCTCGTGGAAAAAAAAAAACCTTGCACAAACAAAGACACACAAAAATCAGGCAAATGTTCTAAATGACTTGTTGGGACTCTTCCAACCCCAATTATGATACTCGGAAAATAAGTCTGAGCTGTCGGCTGTACAGCATCTCTTCACAGTGCTATGTTGTCTGCAACTGTAACCAGCAGCCACAGTTTACACGGACACCTACAGGACCAGTCAAGGGTTACTCATATGTCTAAGTCTTTGCAAAACTGAACCCCAAATGAGGAAAGTCTTCACAGAATGCAAAAATGTTGATACTACTGGTTATGATTTACGCTTTTGTAATACAGACTAGCTTAGAAATGGCCAGATAGAACAGCGTAAATCTGGAATAACTTCATTGACTTCAAAGGAATTAACTACATTTACACCAGCATACATGAGATTGAAATTGGCCCTATGCTTTATAGCAAAGCACATTTATACCTTATGTAATTTGTACAATACAATGGAAAAGATGTTCAAGAACAGTAACTCAACAAAAATGTCTCATTTCAGAGGAACAGCCGTGTTAGTCTGTATTCGCAAAAAGAAAAGGAGTACTTGTGGCACCTTAGAGACTAACCAATTTATTTGAGCATGAGCTTTCGTGCTCAAATAAATTGGTTAGTCTCTAAGGTGCCACAAGTACTCCTTTTCTTTTTAAAAATGTCTCAGTAATGCTACCAAGCTGAGTAACACAAGCCGGCTGAGTGACACTTTGCATTCATTTGGGTGGCAGCTTTCCTAATCTGTCTGTTAATGAATTGGCTTGTTACTACTATACTACTTCTATGATTCTTGCTGGCTTCTGCCCTGTTCTCTTGCAGGACGTCACGTAGCTCATGCTATGTGCACTGAACATTGCATAACTGAATACCCAATGAACCGTGTTCAAAAGAATTGCATTACATCATGGCTCCTCCAAGCATTTAATATGCAATCTGTGTGTTGCAAATGTTGCATAATACAGTTCAAGTTGTGGGTGGAGAGGATGAATGTGTAAATGTGGTGGAGGAATGAGTGGGCAAGACTTAACAGTGATGGCCCTGCTCATACTTATCCTTTAGTGAAATCTTACATCTAGTTTGCCGTCACGGAGACTATAAATCTAATAAATATTAAGGGCCCAATTCTGCAAATCAAAGTGAACATAAACACAGCAGAAACAGCCCTTGTAGGAGGTCTCTTGCATAGGGGGTGCCCAGGTTTGCTGAGCCAATATAACAGCAGCTATACCGAGATCACATTTGCTACCGGTACAATGGGTACGGCCATGAATTCCTACGCTCCAGCAGGCCACGGGTAACCAACATAACACAGAACTACCAGGGGACTGGACCAACGCCCATCAGCTCTGAGATGATATAGGGCTTAAAGGCTGCTTAAAGACAACTTTGCACCCACTGAGCTGCACTAGTTGCACACAGACTGGGTGCCATGGTCTGGCCCCATATATCTATACCAGGCAATCTGCAAGGGAAATATAGAACTCTTGCCTAATTAATAAAATATGTATTTGAGTCTCAGAGTTTCCCAGTCACAGTGCCACTGATCTACTGCTTATAATGACTTAGACCCTGATCATACAAATACTACTGATAGCTAAAAAGTGGGCACTGGAGCTACTATCACTTTGCTTGAGAAAATTTAACCCTTTAATGGATCTCACTTTTACTTGACAGTCAGCTTGCTCTCTGTGGTCCCAATCCTGCTCCGGTACTGATGTGGATGGCAAAACTCCCATTGACCTCAATGGCGCAGGATCAGACCCCATTTCCCTTAATTTCACATACCGAGTAGACTAGACTACATTGGTATGGGTATATCCAACGGAGATTGGAGACTTATGTTGGTAGGAATGGAAAATGTTGTGGATGGAAAACGACCAAGGGAGAGGCCAAAGACTTGGTACACAGATGAGATATCAGTAGACCTCAGAAAGATAAAGCTATGTAACAGCCTGGCATACAATCATGAGTTTTGGAAGAAGGCTATAAAACTTGCTGACCTCGAATAGGGAAGTGGCAAAAAAGATGACAATACTTAGTAGCCCTGATCCTGCAATCAGCACCATGCAGGCAAACCCATGTGCCCAAGTAGCATTTACTGTAGGACTGGGACCAGTAATACACTTTGTAATATCCTAAGCAGTTGCTTTCCTTTGTTAATATTTATACACTTCAAATACTTGTAGACTGTTAACGTGGTTGTTCCTTGAGTAAGCAAACTGAAAAAAATGAACTCATACAAAAATTACATAAAAATAAATGCTTCTTTAGATTAAAAACAGAGCTGTAAATTTGAGGAAGTTTCCTCCTAAGTATTTCATGGTAAGTCAAATTTTGAAAAAATCTACTATTTGTGCTGTGTGAATTTCAGAGCCAACACCATATTGCTTATTGTTAAGTGACCACTCCCTTTCTCCCCCTCATTTTTTCACTCATTCTGTGCATACAGGTGTCAGAGGTGTCCCTTCATACATTACATTTGGCAACAACAACGATGCTAGTACACTGACAGAGAGAAAGACGGGAACGAGTAATATAGCCAAGTTGCCTGTCACATGACCAGAAACCCAGCAAAACACAGTGGGACTGATTCTCCAGTGTCTGCATCTTGTGTAGTCATTTACACCTGTGCAACGTGTAAAATGCTACCAAATCAGAACTCTCCACCCAAACTGGAAATAACATTTCAGACCCACTTGGTGCAGATGTAAATGAATATATGACAAGGAAAGTGAAAGAGGACCAGGCCCAACATTTGCTATCAGTTTTGTGTTACCAGGTCTGTCTATAAGTAGAAGACTTTTCAAATGAGCTTGGGTTCTTAAGCTGTAGATTCAAAATCAACAGCATTTAAATTTGTTTTATAGTTTATGTCAAAAGCAAATATTTCAAAACTTTGCCTTTTGAAAGTGCCAAACTTTGGGCAGGGGGAGTTTTTCTAGCAGAGCTGTGAAGATAATGGAGTTTGGAAAATAGAAGAGAAAATCAATTACTATCTTAATGATCTCAAAAATGTCTTTTACACTAGATTTCTATACAAACAGTGTGTAAAGCTGAAAAGCACCCTCTTAAAAACAACACTGTCTGTACACTTTCTATTTACCTACAATCTAAGATTCTCAAGGCAGGAACTGCCCTACGTCTTCCAACAGTTTCAAGCATTGCATCGACATTTTAAATAACAACATGCCTATTTTTATAAGAGAAATTACAGTTTTATTTTAAACTTAATAGACATCCAATTTTTCCTTTTCAAAACCTGGGCCTAGGTAACAAAGCACCAGAGTCCTATAAACTTTCTAACACCAAACACAAATTAAGCAGCGAAATTGCTCTAGGAAAAGTTCCAAGAATGTAGGAGTCTCAACATAATCTCTATATCTTAGGCTTTGACTTTTCATCACACTCAAACAACATAAAATATCATACTGTCAAGAATTATTACTCCACCATGGAAGATTTTCAATTATTTCCCTAGTTGCAACCAACTCATGGCCCTTTGCATGTAGCTCTCATATCAGATGATAGAGGTTCCATTGACAGAGTAGCTCAGAAATTGCTGATTTACCTGAGATGCTAGACCCAAGGGTTCATATCTCATAAACCATCACAGCATATATTGTAAACTATTGTGAAATTTGTCACTGCACATGCTGTTTCCTACGGAAGAGTGTATGCGAGTAATCAGTATTGTGCCTGTCTGCATAGAAAAATGTCAATATTGCTGGTGTAAAACGACGAGACTCAGTTTTACTTTCTGTGCCAGCTGTCATCACAGGAGTTTATAACAGCATCTCCAGTGAGTACAGGACCTACACACCGAAAAGCTCAAAATCCTTCCTCCTTTGCACAACTCAGGGTTTTAATCAAAGAACTGCTGGTTTTTCCAGTACAGAGCTACTGCTTGTTTAATCTCATGGGAAAGATCAAAGAATGACAACCTAGTTCTGTACAAATGCTATTATTCAGCAACACCCCCAAAGGGAAGAAAGAATGTTTCCTGAATACAAATTGTAGATCCACCAATTCTTGTCTGAAAATCTAAAATGGGCAACGATAGCCGATTAAGTCAAGCCTGGTACTCTCTGTGCTAACTGCAGAGCCACAATACTGATATTTTTAATGAGGATTAAAAGTGTAACTTCTCAGTTGGTTCCTTTTCTTATATCTGAATGCAACATCCTACCCTTCATGTTTTGGGTGGCAGCCCACATATACCAACAGAAAACACCTTTCCCCATGGTAGATCACTCAAAATACACTTTTATTCCATTACGAAGCAGCATATTTTCAATTATTCTTATTTAGTATTTTTTTACTACAGCTCATGAACTGCCATTCTTCTTCTGAGTCTGCTTCGTTCTGGTGCTTAATAATAATAGTTATGTCCCTAATATAAACAAAACGACTGATTCAATTAAATCTATATAGTCCTTACCTGCAGAATTCCCAGCATTCAAGAAATCTTCTTGTCACTACTGTGCTTTAAATAAAACAAGAGCATTCCCCGCTGGGTGACCTACAATAGAGCAGAAAGACATATCAGGACAACATAATATGGTACATTTTACATAAGCATCAAATTACACTTTAATGAAAAATTAACAGTTAAACATGTACCTATTATCTTGCCGTAGCTTGCCTTTTATGGATACTTGTGCCAAACAGTAAATGTTTGGCAGGAATCACACACCGTGAAATGCACATATGAATAAGAGGTACCTTTCCCCTCTTTCAACATACACGCTCAGACACGGAGATGTTTTGATTGCCCTTTATTCTCTACTTGTACAGCTCACGTTGCAGTTATATAAATTAAATAATTAAACTCATGCTGACACTAAACCATAGTACTTTTACAACTAAACAATACAATCAATAAAACTAGTCACTTGAGTAAGAACTGTAGGAATGAGACCAAAAGCATTCTAAGTTGTTGTCAACTTCTGAGTCTTGCAGGAAAAATAAAAAATCCTTCTTGCTTTGAACTTTTATCTGATTACATTTTACTGAACACTGAAACCTAAATATTATTTCACAATCTGAAACGTAGCAAAACAAAATAATACTGGTGTCAATTTTGTTAATGCACAAAAACCAATAATCACACTGCAAACAACAGACTGTCAAATTCCAGTACCAGGTAGAGATTTAACTCTGCAATTCCTTATAAAGAATGGAAGCTGTGAGTTTAATCCTTCACTTGTCATGCTGGACATGTTCCTAGGTATTTCAGCCAGTTTCCTTGACTGCTATTTAAAATATATATATTTAGTGCTGCTCTTGTATACAGTAAATTTCCATAGATTTCCAATGATAATTTACCATTACTTAATGGACACTTTAGCTGGCTTGACCACTACGGAGTCATAAAGGACTTGATTGAGACTCTTACATTGTGATGATGGTTTTGTTTTAGAGCTGCTCTTACCAAACAAGTGGGATCACCCATCCTGCTCCATTTTTTTTTAAACGCATACCATATGTTCCAAACACAAGAAAGTAACACACAAAATACAGTACTTAGGGCCAAATGATACCTGCTCTGGAGTGGTGGGAGAGAAACCCAAGAGCCCAATTCCACATCTAATAAACTCACACTAGATGCATCCATAATGAGGCCTCCTACACCATCTGAGAGCCCAGTTCTTCCACCCTATTAGTATCGAGTAGAAGCTTAGAGCTTGATCCTGTAAACACTTCTTCACGTGCCTAACTTTAGCCATGTAAGCAGTCCCATTGAAGAAGTCATGTGAGAGTGTTTACAGAATAAAGGCCTTAGTCTGCAAGTAGTCCCCTGAAGACTCATTAGATAATTAAACAGTAAGCTAGTAACAATTTTAATGATAGTGGGGCTACTGGCCCACTGTAAAATACAGTTGAAATCAATGAGATATTTATGGGAGTAAGCATCTACTCAAGGGAGAGAGTGAAACAACTGGGCCCAGAGTATGGGGCCTCGAAGAGGGCAGGAGCTGCTTGAAGCACAACATATTTACTTCCTATTTTGGAGGGGGGTTGGAGGAGAGATGGGGTAATCAAAGTGGCTCTGAACAAAAAGATCCAAAACCAAACGAATTAAAAAATGTAAGGTGCAAAATTAAAAGTTTCAGTTATAACAAAATATGGCAGCACACAATCTATCTGGGGTTCAAAGTGAGTGATGACCTAACATTGCCCCATGAGTCGGGAAGAAGTGTAGATGTAACTGCAATACAAATGTCAAAGAAAAGAGTCATCGATCTAAGATGACACTTCTTTCCTGCAGTATGGTTGTATGTTAGTGAAGCCGAATTTCAATGGCTCATCTCAGTGCAGAGGAGCAATCACAATGGAAGGCCAAAGTTAATAGGGTACCATTTCTTTTCTCCAAGACCCACAAGTTTTGTTGGCCCATTAAGTGTCTAGTAGTGGCATGACTAAAATCTGTGATGAAAGTGTTCCTCTTTGCAGACAGAGGGTTGCTATATGTCAAAAACAAATTCAAATCTTATTTAGGAAAGTAACATTTACAATACAGTAATATAAGAACAAAACAGTCAATACTGATTTCTGAAGATGGATCTTTACCACAGGGGTGGGCAAACTTTTTGGCCCAAGGGCCACATATGGGTATAGAAATTGTATGGTGGGCCACGAATGCTCACAAAATGGGGGGTTGGGCTCTGGGGTGGGGCCAGAAATGAAGCATTCAGAGAACAGGAGGAGGCTCTGGGCTGGGGCAGGAGGGTGGGCTACAGGTAGGGGGGGGTGAGGGCTCCAGCTGGCAGTGCAGGCTCTGGGGTACAGGAGGAGGCTGGGACCAAGGGGTTCGGAGGGCAGGATGGGAATCAGGGCTGGGGTAGGGGGTTGGGGTGCAGAAAGGGGTGCAGGCTCCGGGCGGTGCTTACCTCAAGCAGCTACCGGAAGTAGCAGCATGTCCCCCCCTTCGGCTCCTATGTGGAGGTGCAGCCAGGAGGTGCTGTGTGCTGCCCCATCCGCAGGCACCGTCCCCGCAGCTCCCATTGGCCATGGTTGCTGGCCATTGGGAGCTGTGGGAGCCACGTGGAGCCATGGCACGTGCAGAGCGGGGCAAGCCCCCGACCCCACTCCTCGGCTGGAGCACCAGAGCAGGGTAAACCCTGGACCCCGCTCTCCGACAGGAGCTTGAGGACCTGATTAAAACATCTGAAGGGCTGGATGCAGCCCCGGGCCGTCGTTTGCCCACCCCTGCTTTACAAAATAGTTGTCCAGTACATTAAGGCCAGGTCTACCCTAGACAGTTTTGCCAGTATAATATTGTCAGTTAGCAGTGTGATTTTCTTTTACATTTCTATACAGGTAAAAGTCCTACTGTAGATACATTTATACAGACCTAAAAAGTACTTTTGGCAGTATAGCTTATTTTGCTCAGGGAGCTGATATAAACTACACTAGCTACAGCACTTTTTGGCAAGCTGAATCTATACTAGGAGGGTTCACCAGGTTAGCTATACCAACAAATCTTTTCTCATGTAGATCTGGCTTACGTCCACTGAACAATTAATGTATTTTCTCTTTTCCTTCCCATTTCCTTTATTTTCATAAGCCAATAGTTCTGTACACCCTATGTAATTCCCAGCCCTGCCGTTCATGAGGCAAATTAATTAGGCTGTTAAAACACCAGTTATATCCTGGCATTCCAATTCAGGTTAGCACCTCCAGCAACCAAGTTCTGACTATAATTATGCTGGCATTTGCTCCTGGAAAGTATGGAAAATAATTACTACCAAGCTCCAGTCAAGCTGAAAGCAGAAATAATTACTCAAATCAAGATCAATTTGACGGAATTCAGCAGGATCCCACATCCAGTCAGTTATCTTTACCCTCATCACAAGCTGACCTCAGAAGAAACAGGAATTAAAAGATAAAAAGACCTAAACATGGCAACAAAAGGTAATTATTCACCCCTAATGTCCTTTAAGGAGAAATACGCACTCCTATAAATCTGGATGTATAATTATTTGCTGGGTAAGATGTGGTAGATTAATACAAATATTTATAGGTGTCCACTACAAAAAGTATACAACTCTGAGAAATCACATTACTATGCCCACATCAATTACCTACCCTAGGGTGGACAGAAAGCACATTTTAAGAAAAAAAATAGTGATATCTATATTTAATAAAGCACAATCCTAGAATGTTGGTATATAACAAAACAAATTTCTACCTTTCCTTAGGAAGATATTTGGCTTCATTTTCAGTGAGATAATTCTATGGCAGATTGTTATATTGTAATATTTTACAAGTGGAAGGAGACCTCTCAAGACCATGAATGAGGCTGTTTTCCAGCTAGCTGTTTGCTTTTGATTGAACTTATTGGGCTAAATTTTGGAAGGAGCCTTAAACATCCCTGTACATTTGCACCAGCTATTTTTCATGCAAAATTATCCATACACAGAAGAGACATGATTTTGACCCACAAACGCTATACTGAGCAGTCATGAATGACTGTGCATACCAAATTGTGAGAAGAAATATTTGGGTGAAGAGCACTGATGCCAAAGATGTTAATTTTTAACATCTAAATTTAAATAGAGTAGAGGTCGATTTTTATATCTGTGGCCTTTTTAATCTTAAGAACACAAGAAAAGTGAAAATGGTAAACACAGTGTTATTTCTTTAAAAAAGGAGGCCCCAACATGGGGCATACAGTGGTGAAGATAGGTTTATTCTATTTCATTTAGCACTGGGGAAAGATATAGGACTGGCAGCCCCGCAGACTATAGTCCTATATTTTTTCCAAGGACAAGGACAACAGAGGCAGTGGCAGAGACACTGCCCCACATGTGTATCTCAACACTGCTCACCTCTAGGGGTGAGGAACACACGCTTTCCCCATGCCTTTTTAATTCTCAGCGTCACCGCAGAGCTTGCTAATAATGGTGAAAACCACAGTACGATGTATGTGCTTCTTGAAATGCGGACCCTATCTAAAATGAACTGAAACAAGGTAATCAAATTACATAACAATGTCACATTTTTCAGGCTTGCATTCAAGCATTCAAAATGGCAGCTAGAAGTACACGCACTACCATTTTTAAATGACATTCCTGCAACTCTGAGGTATAAAATCCTGAACTGAACAGAATAGAAGAGGATATTTTGTCGACTCAGTGGCTCAAGAGATTAGTAATGGGATTCAGAGCCTTTCTACTCTTTGTTACCACTTGAAATCCAAGCCAGGTTCACAGTGACTTACAGACATAATCATCTAATGGCTATTTGTTGACATATGTGAAATGAGTTGGTGGTTTCCGTTCAGTTCTTAGTGGAGAGTATCCACATCACAAAACTCACTATCCCAAATGGCACTACCTTGTTGGCAGGGAGGGCCTGGATTACATGGGAATTTAGAATTAAACAACTCGCCAAGTCTCATTTCCAGAGATGGTACTTCCTGGTCAGCATTCAAGTGCATTAATAGCTCAGTATGGGGAAGCTGGGAGACAAGAGTTAAAATTCTGATTAGTTTTCTCACTTTCAAACACTTTCTTT